CCACCCCCCTGCTCCCCACCCCCCACACGGTGCCCTAAGACACCTCCTTTCCCACCCTCCCACCATGCCCTGGTCCTGCGCTCCCCTGCTATCCCAGCATGCCCTGGGGCACCTGCATGGCGCGGAAGGCTCGGAGACCCTCAAACTCGAACTCCAGCTCCACGTGGGGCCGGGGGCCGGGGGGGCGACGCCACCCCACGTAGTCGTAGCCCGGCCAAAGACGTCGTTCACGGCTCCTCATGAAATCGTCCAGTCCCAGCACCCCGTCCGCCAGTTGGCCCAGTCCCCCAAACTGCAGCCTGGGGGAGGAGGGGAGGTAGGGGGGTCAAAGGGTCCCTGGACACCTCGTCCCCCCAATTTCACCCCGCTATGGGGCAGCCTTGGGGGGTCACGAGGTCCCTGGACACCTCATCCCCCCATCCCACCCACCTGGGAACCCTCCTTGGGGCAGTCTGGGGGTTCAAGGGGTCACCACATGCTTGGGTCCCACCATCCCACCCCCATGGGTCAGCCTGGGGGGTCAAGGGGTCTGGAGACACCTCATCCCCACCGATTCCACCCCACTATGGGGCAGCCTTGGGGATCAAGGGGTCTCCAGACACCTCGTCCTCCCACTTCCACCCCCCTGTGGGGCAGCCTTGGGGGGTCACGAGGTCCCTGGACACCTCATCCCCCCATCCCACCCACCTGGGAACCCTCCTTGGGGCAGTCTGGGGGTTCAAGGGGTCACCACATGCTTGGGTCCCACCATCGCACCCCCCATGGGGCAGCCTTGGGGGTCAAGGGGTCTCTGGACACCTCATCCCCCCAGTTCCACCCCCCTATGGGGCAGCCTGGGGGGTCAAGGGGTCTCCAGACACCTCGTACCCCCAATCCCACCCCGCTATGGGGCAGCCTTGGAGGTCAAGGTGTCCTTGGACACCTTGTCCTCCCATCCCACCCATCCGGGACCCCCCTCCCCATAGGAGCACAACTTGGGGGTAATCGGGGCTGTTTTGGGGACAGTTGGGAACATTGGGTTCAACTGGGGCCAACTGGGGGGGGGCAGCTGGGGCAATCTGGGAACAGTCGGAGGCTCTTTGGGGACAGTGGGTGACACTTTGAGGCTGTTTGGGGCCACCAGGTGACAATTTGGGGACAGTTGGGGACAGTTGGGGACAGCAGGGAACAATTCGGGGCTGTTTTGAGCCAGTGGTTGACCACCTGGGGACACTTTGGGGTCATTTGGGGACAACGGTGGACAATTTGGGATGATTTGGGGACAGTTGGAACCTGTTTGGAGACGGTTGGGACAGTTGGACGTGGCCAAGGGCAGTTTGGGGACACCTGGGGACAGTTTGGGGACAGCTGGGGTGGTTTGGAGGCACCCGGAGATGGCCAAAGCTGTTTGGGGACACTTTGCGGACAGTTTGAGGACAATTGAGGACACCTGGGCAGGTCCTGGAAGAGTCTGGGGACAGTTTGGGGGTGGCTAGGGGACACCTGGAGGTGGCCAAAGATGTTTGGGGACAGTTGGGGGACAGTTTGAGGACCACTGGAGACAGCTGTAGTGGTCCAGGGACAGTCTGAGGACACCTGGGGGTGGCCAAGGCTGATTGGGGACAGTTTGAGGACCACTGGGGACATCTGGGGAGGTCCAGGATCAGTCTGGGGACACCTAGGGATGGTTTGGGGACACTTGGGGATGGTTGGTGCAGGTGACCCTTGGGGACAGTTGGGGACATGTGGGGACTCACGGGCCAACGCTGTATCCATCGTAGGTGGAGTCATTGAGGACAACGGGCGCCGGGTCCAGGGCCATCACCTGTCCCCGTGGCGCCGTGTAGGACAGGAGCCCAGCTGAGGACAGGGGACATGTCACCATGGGGGCCACCACGGCGTTGGGTGAGGGACATGGAGATGGGGGCCCACCACCACCCTTGGGGACACGTCACCACGGGGGCCACCATGGCGTTGGGTGAGGGACATGGAGATGGGGGCCCACCGCCCCCCCCGTGGACACCCCTGGGGACATGTCACCATGGGGGCCACCACGGTGTTGGGTGAGGGACATGGAGATGGGGGCCCACCACCACCCTTGGGGACATGTCACCACGGAGGCCACCACGGCGTTGGGTGAGGGACATGGAGATGGGGGCCCACCACCACCCTTGGGGACACGTCACCACGGGGGCCACCATGGCGTTGGGTGAGGGACATGGAGATGGGGGCCCACCACCCCTCTGAGGACTCCCTTAAGGGTTTGAGATGGGGTGCCCCTGGGAGATGATGGCGGGGAGGGGATGGGGTGGGATGGAGGTGACCGGGGAAGCGGGGGGGAGGTGACAGAGGGGAGGTGACGAGGTGCCACTCACCGTCCCATGGGCAGCCGTAGAGCTCCAGGCGCAGGCAGACGCTCATGGCGCGGGGGGCCCGGGGGTAGACGCGCAGTGCCCGCGCCACCGGAGGGGGCGCCAGGTCCTTCAGCACCACCCCCTCGGGGTCCTCGTTGCCCCCGATCACCTGCGGCGCCGGGATCCGCTGGGATCCACCCGACGGGCAGATCCCACCCCCGAGGGGACCTCCCCGGTCACCCCATGGCATCCCCGGCTTCCCACGAGCCCAGGGAACCCTGAAGATCCCACCACCAGCCCAGGATCTCCCAAGGACCTCATTGTCCCCCAAGATCTCTCTGCCCTCCCAGGGATCTCCGGGAATCTCCCAGGGATCCCGTTGTCCCCCAAGATCCTTCTGCCCTCCCAGCGATGCCCAGGATCTCCCAGGGATCCCACCACCATCCAAGGATCTCCCATGGACCTCATTGTCCCTCAAGGTCCCTCCGCCCTCCCAGGGATCTCCAGGAATCTCCCAGGGATCCCGTTGTCCCCCAAGATCCTTCTGCCCTTCCAGGGATCCCCAGGAACCTCCCAGGGATCCCACCACGGTCCCAGGATCCCAATCTCCCCAGAGATCCCATCACCATCCAAGGATCTCCCAAGGACCTCATTGTCCCTCAAGATCCCTCCGCCCTCCCAGGGATCTCCAGGAATCTTCCACGGACCCCACCACCATCCCAGGATCCCAGTCTCCCCAGGGATCCCACCACCATCCCAGGATCTCCCAAGGAGTCATTGTCCCTCAAGATCCCTCTACCCTCCCAGGGATCTCCAGGAATCTCCCAGGGATCCCATTGTCCCCCAAGATCCTTCTGCTCTCCCAGGGATCTCCAGGAATCTCCCAGGGATCCCACCACCATCCCAGCACCCCAGTGTCCCCAGGGATTCCACAACCACTCCAGGATCTCCCAAGGATCCCATTGTTCTCCAAGATCCCTCGACCCTCCCAGGGATCTCCAGGAGTCTCCCAGAGATCCCACCACTACCTCAGGATCTCCCAAGGACCTCGTGGTCCCCCAAGATGCCTCTACCCTCCCAGGGATCTCCAGGAATCTTTGAGGGGATCCCACCACCCCTCCAGGATCTCCCAAGGATCCCATTGTCCCCCAGGATCCTTCTGCCCTCCCAGGGACCCTCCTGGTCACCTCAACACCCCGACGTCAACATGCCCAACGTCCCCAAGATGTCCCCAGGGTCCTTGGTCACCTCAGTGTCCCAACATCTCCACTGTCCCCAAAGTGTCCACAAGGTTCCTGGTCACCTCAACACCCCAAGATGGCCAACGTCCCCAAGATGTCCCCAAAGTCCCCAATCACCTCAACACCCCAACATGCCCATGTCCCCAAGATGTCCCCAAAGTCCTCAGTCACCTCAGTGCCCCAACACCCCCAAGGTCCCCAAGATGTCCCCAAGGTCCATGGTCACCTCAGTGCCCCAACACCCCCAAGGTCCCCAAGATGTCCCCAAGGTTCCTGGTCACCTCAGCGCCCCATCGGTCCCGCCAGCGCAGCCAGCGGTGGCGGTCACGGCTGTAGCGTAGCCGGTAGGCGTGGGCAAACTCTCTGCCGTGGCCACCGGCGTGACGTCCCTGTGTCCCCACCAGTGTCACCACGTGCAGCCGACCCAGGTCCACCTCCAGGAACTCCTCCTCCTCTGGGAAGACGGGACCCGCGGGACACCAGGCGCCGTCCCCATCGCTGCGACCCAACCTGGGGACATGGGGACATCCTGGGGCCACCGCGGACGTGGGGCCACCTGGGGCCACCAGGTGCTGTCCCCATCACTGTGACCCAGGCTGGGGACGTGGGGATGTCCTGGGGATGTGGAGGGGTACCTGGGGACATCCAGGGGACATGGGGACATCCTAGGAACACCCAAGGGACATGGGGACACCCAGGGGACATGGGGACATTCAGAGGACATGGGGAGACTTGGAGGACATGAGGACATCATGGGGACACCCGGGGGACATGGGGGCACCTGGGGAATATGGGGACGTTGGGCAAATGGGGACACCTGGGGGAAATGAAGGACATTGTGGGGACACCTGGGGACATGGGGACACCTGAGGATACAGGGACATTCAGGGGACATGGGGACACCTGGGGACAAGGGGTCATGGGGACACCTGGGGACATGGGGACACCTGAGGATAGAGGGCCACCAGGGGACATGGGGACACCTGGGGGCAAGGGGACACCTGAGGATAGAGGGCCACCAGGGGACATGGGGACACCCAGGAGGACAGAGGGACCTGCAGACACCCGGGGGACTCTGGATGGCACAGGACAGTATTGGGAGGGGACACTGGGCCATACTGGGCCATACTGGGC